AAATTAAAACTGCGTCATTAATGGCTGCTGCCTCTTCTCCTGCACCTGTAAGATGTTCATGCCCCCTGCACCGGAAGTTGTTTATGCTTTCCGCAGTTCCGGTACGTCCCAGCTCAGATTCTCTGGAAAGGCTGGATTGTTCACATGTCCCTTATTTCATAAATGTCCTCCCACACTAAACAGAATTATTAAGTTAGAATTTAGATTGACCCTAAGTAATGGTTGAGATATATGACTGTATCTGAGGTTTTTTAGTTGTCTCAGATTAAAAAGGGTGAGGAATAGATGGGAACAAAAAGACAAGTTGTCATAGAGCTACCAGCCATAGATTCTGCTTTCCAGTGAAGATGAACACCCTGGGCTCCCTGCCTGGCCACAGGTCCTTTCCTGCCATGTTCAGCACAGTAGGGACTGCACAATCTGCCACATGCCAGTACTTTTCCCTGCACACCTAGTAAACTAGGAGCCCCACCACGGGCACTGCTCTGGAGGTTGAATTTTCTTAGCGGATGCAAGAAAGAAAATCATTGAGGTAAGGGGCAGGCTTTTAAAATCATAACTAATGTAGGGCTGGCTGCTGACATGAAAAGGCTTTACCAGGCAGAGGAAGCTTCACTGTCAGTCTCACTCTGTGGGTAAATGATTTTGTAACTCAAAGCAACACCCCCTGTTAGCCCTTCTTTGCCAAGTGATTTTGTGTGTTGGTGTTTGATGCAGAGTAAATCTTGATTGCTTGTAGCTGTAATTAGGGTGTGCTGGTAGATCATCCGTTTCCACAGCACAGCTGGGAAGCCTGTTCAAGGGACACAAATCATACCCCGCCCTGAGGTCAGCTTGGTGAGATAACAGGCTATGTGCCATGTTATAAGGGTTTCTGCTTGGAACCGGGTCGAGAGTGCCCTTTCCCGCCTTGCTGGGTATCGGGACAATTAATGCCATGGGCTACTGCTTTGCTTATATCAGGAGTTAGGGTCCTCGCTTAAAAGAAGGAAGAAAAACAAAACCCAAAAACCCTAGGTAAAATAAACAAACAAATCTGGCTGAAGCATCTACTGAAAAAATGAAATTGTGTGCACCTGGCGCATGAATCCTTCCTCAGCTACCAATTTAGCTAGGAAAAGCTAGAAAAGCAGAAGGGGAAAACTGAAGTTTTAAGAGCATTTTTTTTAATCCTTTCTGCTCCTGCAGGCAAATTCCTTGTAGTGTCTCACCAAGAACAAGAACACACAGTTAACTATATATTTTTTTGTTTGTTTGTTTTAGTAGTAACCTGCCTTATAAGAACAGAAAGGTAAGGAGGAAAACTGCAGTTATGATCCAATTTATCAAGTCTTACCTTTGATGTTTCTATCTACTGCTTTTCTGTTACGACACGTGCCTGGTTACAGTTAGAAAAGCAGTATGTCTGTAGTTGTGTTGGACCTAAGCTCCTGTTGTGAACCTGGGCTTAAAGTACCTTAAGTGCTCAACTAGAAGGAGACACCTGGAAGCAGTGCGTACCCCCCAGCAGGACTACAGACCTCTCTGTATCCAGAAATGTCTTGCTGTCGAATGGACTGTGCGTATGTGTTTTTATATGCACATGTGTGTTCTGCATGGATAGTTTTGAGCTGATAAGACTGTTTTAGCTCTTTCCTACCATTCATCTTCAGTAGCTGAAAGGGGAGATTTTACAAGGTGAATGAGCTGATCTAACTCAGTGCTAAAAAGACTTGTCTCCTCTGGCCTCTTCCCTTGTGCTAGCCCTGGCTGGTGTCCGATTATACTGGC